CGGCATGTGACCCATCTGGGCTGAGACGCTTGCGTGCTCCAAGCAGCCACCGCCCTCCAAGTGGACCTTCATTTCTAAATGAGGGCCATCTGCTTCGGCATTAGCTGTCTAATAAAGGCAAAGGGATGTGCGAAAGGGGGCGGAGGAGAGAACAGCGAGACTAGGATTAAAGGCTTGGCGGCAAAGTGAGATTTGGGAGGTGGTGGCAATGGGGGGAGGAACGAAATCTCCTTCTTCCCATAAGATAGTATTATATACCTAACAGATCAGGTATTTACAGTGTAAAGTTACGGTGTAGAACATGGGTTACGGTGTAGAACATGGGTAGGCAAATTAAGGCCTGGGGGCCGGATTGCCTTCTAAATCCAGCCCATGGACAGTTTGGGAATCAAAATGTTTTTACATAAGTAGAATGTTTTTATTTAAAATGCATCTCTGGGTTATTTGTGGGGCATAGGAATTGGTTCATATTTTTTTCAAAACATAGTCTGGCCCCCACAAGGTCTGAGGGACAGTAGACCAGCCCCCTGCTGAAAAAGTTTGCTGACCTCTGGTGTAGAAGCTTGTATGCATCCTGCAAAAATGTTTCAGTGCAGACTGCCACAGGTGGGATCAGAGATGGAGAAGCCCATGCAAAGCTTCTCTGTTGTGCAGTGTTGACAGTGCTGTTGCTAGGCAGCCCTCTGCCTCCAAGTGGGAGCAAGGTCAGGAGGGCAAGCATGCCATAAGCAGGATGAAGCTTGCTCTTAAGTTTCTGCGTTGACGTTGCTCCTCCTCCTGTTTCATTTTCATGTGTTGCATCCTGTCGTGTCTGCTCAGATGTCCTTCAGGTGCATCTGTCATTCCTTTGCTGTGTAGAAGAACTAGCACATCCCAAAGGTGAGGTTTACTGTGCTACTCAAAGGGAGCATATGCCTTGTGACGCAAACACGGTCGTTAATGTGCCCTTTACAACAGAACAAACCTTGAATGTGCACCAGCAATTTGCTTGTGAGGATTGCGGGGCCAAGTGAAAGATGTCAGAACCTAGGCAAGTTCATATGTAGCAATATGGTCTTTAAGTCTTTAACCTAAGCTGTATAGGATGGCCTTATTTAGGGAAAGTTACTACAGTAGAATAGAAGACCTTTGAGTCCCTTCCACTTTGGTATGTTGCTTCAAGAGTCCCTTGCTGATCAAAAAGGCCACCTTTTTTCTAAGAAAAGCAACATGGTATATGACATTGTTTTTATGGCGAGAGGGAAAAACCCATTTTGCACTATGCACAAAAATAGCAGCATCTGTTTGGCTTTTCTTTCTTTTCCCTGCAGGCCTTTATGACTCCAGGAACTTGATGTTTTGATTCACACCAGTGTTTTAACACTTCATCTGAGAAAGAAATGCCTTGGACAGTGATCTATTACTGCCTAATGCACTGGACAAAGTACTGAGGTGCTTTTTCAGACCTACTTTCAGAATCTTTCCCTGGTGAGGGTAAATTTGATGTCGCCTCAGGCTACAGACAAACAGACGAAGAGAGTGAAACAAAGCCTATGTATAAGTCCAACACTATTTATTTAAAGGGACAAATCTGATCTTAACACTTACATGAACAGAACAGCCCAGGCCTTATCGAACAAGAGTAAATCCTGTTTTAAAGGAGAAGTTTTGCATCAAGCTGCCTTTTGACATTTACTCTCCACCCTGTGCAAGTAAAAGTGATGAGATATAATTGGGGAGGGTTGGGGAAACCATTGGTTCATGAACCCAGCATGCTTACCCTCAGTGCTGATTATTGCTTCACTATTGCTTCATGTTTTCCCAGCTCTTCCCCAAAGGATCGCAGGGTAGCAAATGTACATATTTTCCCCATTGGCCATTTTATCAAGCTGAGAGACAGTGACTGATCCAAGACTGTCCAGTGAGTTTCATGGCTGATTTCCTCAGTTCCAACCTGACACTCCCTATATTCTGTACCATACTGGCTCTGATTCACATGGTATGGTGAATCATATGGAAACAGACTCAGTCCTTCTATGAGGACAGATGAGCCTCTTGGCTCAGGCGGCAGATCAAGAGAGATGGCTAGTGTGTAGAAATCACTATAAGTTGGTGATTGGCTGAGGGACCATTTCATTTTATTTTTTGTTGACTCGTTCATCTCTGGCTCACCTCCACTCAGCACCCGACCCGATTGGCATTTGCCTTTCTTTGCCATTCATTTTTATTTAAGCCACCCGACAGGGGCACTATTACTATACCCTTCAGGTACTACACCTGTTCATTGATTTTGGCATACATCGGTGTGAAGTGCTTAGGCTGCTTTCTGAGGGTACTGGTGTGATCAGTCCTGCAGCTGCTCTGTCTCAAGGGCTTTGGCAAAATGGTCCTTCAGTCATCTATGATTTAAAGAGACGATTGTTTGCATGTGCTGTTGCCTGGCAGTTACAATGCAAGCTTTTCAGATTAAGGGCCCTGGACTGAGGAGCCATCTTGCAGTGGAATAGAAATGTGATTAATGCAAATAAAAATTATATTTAGGTGCCTTGGGGTTGCAATTTTCAAATTACTTAAGTTTTCTTGGGGAAAAAGAATGTTCCCAGACTGGGGATAAACCTCTGACTCTTTGCAGCTTTGGGTTTTTGTTTTTTGTTTTTGATGCCATGTTAGCTATTTACTGTGGCTTTACTGGGGTGCCAACTTGAATAAAATATTTTGAGGGGGGGCAGGTAAGCCCTACCCCACATAACTAATCACATGATGCAATGTGCACACACCATTTGAATGGCAATGTCCATCAGCTGTTTGTAGGTTTTATTCAACCCTCATAATTCGAGCACTGACAAAGTGTTCCATACAGTTAACCGTTCTCTTGGCTTTGCCCTCCTGCACAGAACATGCTTGCCGCTCTATATGTTGCAGAAATCTGCATTTCCTTTCATCCGAGGATAAAAGAATTGAAATAAGAACACTAATGATAACCTTTCATGTTAAACAGGATACGTAGCTTTACTGCAGAGACAGAAATGCATTTCCTGACCTCCTCACTGTGTAGTAATGGCAAGGTACAGCGGAGCGTGTGGGATTATAAGTGAGCGCTCGCTGCAGACTCCGATTTCAAGCTCCTGGGAACAGAGCCCAAACCTCTGATTAAAGTGGGACCCCGCCATCTTCCTTCCCACCAGGCCTCTGCATAAGTGACACCTTCTCAGGGACTCCATCACAGTCTCATTAAGAACAAGGAGCAATTGTGATGGAAAGATGCAGGTTGCTCAACACAGTGAGGCGTCAGGTTTTTGGGTGGGTGGGGGGAAGAAGGATTGGAAATGTGTTTCGATGAGGAAAGGTAACAATTATAATAACAGGTTTGGGATCTGCAGGCTTCATTTTCTGTGCTGACAGTAAGTGCTGCATTTGTAAAGAGGCCTGGGTGAAGCCTCTTAGTTTATAATAGGCCTCCTCACGTAAAAAGCAGCGGCGTCAACTGCAGCTATTTTGTGGAGCAATTAATTATTCCTCCGAATCAGATGACAACCGTGAGCTGTATCATTAGCACCTTGATCCCCAGCTTTACAAGACAGAAATAATAATTCCTCGTGTCACATGTGGAATTAGCCTGACTCCTGCTGCTGCTGTTTTTCTTTCTCCTCAGCTGTGTAAAGGACCTTCTGTCACAAAACAGACTTCACACAAGTTGTCCCCTTGGGGACTGAGGCAATGTGTCACCGTGACCTTCTGCAAGGTCTCGCCTACATAAGATGTGGCCGCTTCTGATCTGATGAGGGAAACTGCTAAGAGCACCACCATCCCAAGAACAGGCACCAAGAGCTACAGGCATAGGGAAGGGCAATTTAGGGTTTTTTAAAAGACTCTGTGAAATCATGGCCCTAGAAAAGACAGCTGCTAGGCTCTCATTGGATTCTATTCAGTAATTTTGGGTGTGTGCTAAATTTGTAGTTATATACCTCAAAAAAGGTGAACATATAACATCGCAGTACCGAATTTAAATAACACAGGATCCATACAGTCATCTTCTTATGATAGCATAAGATCAAACGATCTAGAGCAGGCATGTCCAACTTTCAAGAGACTGATCTACTCCCAATATTAAAAAACTGGCAGTGATCTGCCCGTTGGATTGACTAAAGTTCGTGAGCCTAAGTTGTTGAGCTGGGAGCACAAGTGTCCATGTGTTTGCTAGTGCTTTCCCATCACAATCAGTGTGCTTTTCTAGAAGTGTGAACAATGTTACGTGTAGTTTGAAGACTTCCAGGGTGGAGGATTTACCAATGAGAAGAATGCGAAACTTAGCTTTTGTACATACAAGGGTCCGCACATCAGAGTACAGTATTCATTTTAGGGCATTGACCGACGGGCAGTAAAACAGTTCAAGAAGCAATGTATTAATTCTGGCTGGAAGCACCCAGATTATGGGTGTGCAAAGGGTCTGTGCTTCCTTCTGGCCCAGAAATTTGGTCAGTATCCTTAACTAAGGTTGTCAGATTGACCTTTGCACATAAAAGTGGCCTCTTAATTGAAGAAAAAATAGAGTTTAATATTAAGGCACGTTGCCTTCTCTTAATAAGCGGAACTGCAGAAGAAGAAAAAAGTCCTCCCCAACTGCTTGACTTTTCTTTGCACTTTTTATTTTTACTAACTCCTGTTTAACACACACACACACACACACACACACACACACACTATACAGTATACCTTTTGACCTGTGGGTTAACAGGCTCACATGCCGGCATTATCTCACATTTAGCATAAGCTCATAAATGCTTTGCTAAGCTGCGTGACTAAGAGCAAGCATCTCAAAGAATCAATGTTCATTGATGTCATCCTGGGGACACCAGTTGCTCTGCTTGCGTGCATAGCCTGCCACTGATCCTCTGTAATTGTCATCACATCGGCGCTTGCATCAGGTCTGGCGCAATTTGACGGCAGTGGGGGATTTAACACCAGAAGGCAGAGCTTTCGTAATCCCTGCAAATGCCCCCACACCTAAAATCCATTTGCGTTGGTGACTTGGCATTGCCGTCTTGCCACTGAGGGCTGGCAGCTTATAAACACAGCATTAAGGGCCACAGCATTTCAGATTCACAGGCGGTTCAGAGAGCTACACACACCAGCAGCCTCTCAACAGCTACCTAATGAAGCGCCCACGCAGCAACTTGGCCCAGCCTATCAAATGTTTTTTTAATGACTGAAAGGCCAAAGTGGTGACGAGAGAGAGAGAGAGAGAGAGAGAGAGAGAGAGAGAGAGAGAACTTGTTTGGCATTTCAAAGTTTGCAAAAGTGCTGAGATGGAGCAAAGAGATTCGAAAATGCACCCAGCGGCCAGCCTTCTGAAAGATCGTACAATGTTTTGCCACAATGAAAAGCCAACTGATGCAGGGCAATGCCATCTTTCAAGAAGTCGGTCTTGGCGGCGGAGGCGGTCAAATAGTTTCACCATCTGCACCTTACCAAGCATCCCAGAATATCCAGGCTTCCAGGATGTTAAGGTAGGTATCGAGAGTTGTTTCTGCAAGAATGTGCAAGCTTTACACAGCAATCCCTTGTTGTCACTCTATAAAAGAGGGGACTTGGGAGATCATTGAGAGTTTGTGCAAAAAGTTTCTTCGGTATTAAATCAGTTTTGATACAATTAATAGTGTTGATCAGCTGTTTTCATTTTCTTCATCGCCCAGAGAACATTGCTGTAGACTCACAAATATAATTCATTAAACACGTAGCCAATCCTATTATAGTGGTGGCCATTCTGGGAACACCAAGACTGCAATTTTGTTAGTTAACTAGTATGCAATATATAAATACTAATCACAGATGACTTTATTGGTAGTTGATGGGGAACGTATCTAGGGCAGTGCTTGGTAATGATCGTCTGGTCAACCAAAGGCAAAGGAGAGAATGAGTAGCTGTCTAAAGCCCCCACATTGTGCTATTCTTTGTCCTGGAATTGAGAGGAAGATCGTGAAAAAAGTTAGGAAGCGGCTTTTCACGAGGAAGCACCATTTAATGACTGAACTCCCACTAGAGCCCTTTTGAGACAAATAATCCATGGTGCATAACTCCATATGGGGCAGGTTGGGGAGTGGAAGCCTGTTCATGTGGCAGGCCCTACATTCATCATGCACAGGCTCAGTAGACTGCATGAATAAAATGGTGAAGTCTAATTGGGAAGCCTAGTTACTGTTGCTGTGCCACTTTTGGGTCCTGAGACAAAGCGGCACTTTCTAGGTGTGGGATGTATGCACTGCCTGAATGGTTTGCCACATGACCAAAGAGCAATTCGGCACACACATTGCAGCAGTTATTTCTGCTGTGGGTTGAGATCAGCAAGCTGGAATCTGATTTGCACTCAGATGAATTATGCAGGTGATTAGCACAATCTGGACTAAAAAGACCCCCCAAAAAGAAAGAAAAATATTCACCCTGCTCTACACCGAAGGACAATGTGAATCAACTCTCACAGACATTCTGATTAGGGGTATATTTTGATTGCTTCTGCTTTACTTTAAAGTGGCTTCTTCAAAGAGCCGCAATCAAGGAATTCCTGCGTAGATGTTGCTTAAATGTGAATATAGATAACAAATCTGGGATACTTCCCATCACCACCATTGAATACTATTTTAAAAGAAAAAGGATGAAGGCTTTACTGTTGCTGTATATGCCGTGTGCATTTTATTTTCATTTCATTTTTATTCTGAAGATTTATATGTTGTGCAACCCATTTACTAGTGTCACTGGCTAGCCTTGGTGGTTAAGAAAAACCACATTACCCGTTTTATATGATATTTTTCCTTGAGAAGGAAATAATCAATCACAGGTGGCTTAAAATTGTCTCAACCCATTTACGAGTGTAACCAGCTAGCCTTGGTTTTTGAAAAACATGATCCGTTTTGTGTGACTGCTCCTTGAGAAGGAAATAATCAATCTCGGGTTAAAATTGGCTATGTCGCAGTTATTGTCCTTATGTTATCCAATATTTAGGGTGACTCATCTGCCACTACACATTTTGATGACTCTCTAAAGAGCCAAATGCTGTATATCTGTAGTGGAAGGCAGCACAACAATATAAGAAACTGGAAGAATAGAGGCGTACCATAATAGGCCTGCGACTGCAAATACCTTGGGATATTTTGGAGCTCTTTTAATATTTATTTAATATTATTTAATATTTAATATAAAAGCTCTTTTAATATGAGTTTTGGCTGTAGTCTTTGAAGGAGTAAGCTGCTTATACTAAAACAAGCAAAACACCTAAATACATACATACAGATATCTGTTCAAGCTGGCCTTTAAAGAGTATTTTGACAGAAAGGTTAGCTACTACTAGCTTAGTTCATGCACAGCATAAATCCTAAACACATTTACTGAAAAGCAGTAAATATATTTGGCTGTACACCTGAGCACTTTTAAGTGTACACCTAAAAATTTAAAATGTGAGTACAACAGACACATTCTTTTCAAATATGAGTAAACAGATTCTTCAAATAGCCAAGACTGGCTGTCAGCTATAGACATGGATTTTCTGCCTTGTGCATTGATTTAAAGATTTTTACCCTGCTTTTTAGTCAAAACAGCTCCCAGAGTGTTTTGCAAGGCCACTAGGAACACAGTTCCTTCCTGTGGGGCTACTGTATAAAATACATCATGGCACACAAGGAAAAAAGTATGGGAAAGGAGGAGGGTGGAAAACATGTCCAGGAACCTTATAACAACCATCTAGGATGGAAACAGTCCAGATAGTCTACAGAATGGCAGCTGCTGAGTGACTTTTGAGGGAGGGATAAAGCTGCCTGGTTTCTCAGCAGCGGTGATAGAATAGCCCTCTTTCACCTTCCCTCCCACCCCCCACAATACTGGCAGAAAGTTAGCAAGTACACAGCTGGTAGCTTGGAGAATATGCAAAACAATATTTATATATTCAATATAATCACATCAAAATGTAAATCAGCTATTCTGATCAATGCCAGCTTTTCTTTTTACTGAGTCGGAATACATTCTTTGTTTTGCTATTTTTAACTTCAAGTATCAGTGTAATTAGTTTCCAAGGCAGCAAGCACCTTAGCAATACAGAATCAGAAAAATAACGCACTTTATGCGCTTTTATAATATTAGATGGTAATAAATGCCATAGAAGTCCTTGAATCTCAAGGTAGCTACCTTAGTTACAATAACATTCAACTGTTAGCTAAACTAGAATTTATTTTTCTAGGGGAGAGGAGGGGGGCGGAATATCTGGATGTCTTCAAGTAGGCATGTCTGCATTCCTTTAAAATAACAAATGAGATTAAGTCTGCAGCAAAGTGCTTAAATTCCAGTAGTTCAATGGCATTCAAGGGAGGCTACTTTCCTCTGGATTACGCTCTTTGTCTTTCAGTGAAATTTTGCAACTCTTTGGTCACAATTCAGCTAAAACTGACCATGTTGAAGTCCAGTTTACGTCAATGGGAGAGTTAAGCCTGTGCTCACATTTTACTGAGCCATATGCTTTGTGTTGATAACAAACTTACAGTACTGTGTTTATTTATGTCATTGCCAATAGGGATGGGGTAAGAAATCCTGAGCCCTCTTCCCCTCCCCGCTTATTCGCCCAAACACTTCTGTTTGCACTGATTGGCACACAAAGGTGCACACACACACACACACCAGTTATGGCAAGTATACATATACCGTATTTTTCGCTCTATAACACGCACCCGACCATAACACGCATGTAGTTTTTAGAGGAGGAAAACAAGAAAACAAATATTCTAAATGAAACAGTGGATGTATGATTTTTGTGGTTCATGCTGTGGCCACAGACATGTGATCTGACAGTGAGTTTGGAGTAGCCCAATGCAAAAATCCTGAGGATCCATGTGGATCCATGCTTTGTAACCACGTTTTAAGTGGGGAGGGAAGGAAAAGCACTCAAGGGAAGAAGGAACACGCGTGGGGTGGGTGGAGAAGGATGCTGCTAATAATGAAGAAGAGGGGTATAAGGGGAGAAGGCTCCCCTCCTCTCCCACTTTGCTCCTTTAAAGCAAGCAGGCTCGCTGTCCCTCTCTCCTCCCCACTCAGTGGCTCTTCTCCTGCTTTGCTGTTTCAAAGCGAGCCACGGAGGAGGGAAGGAAGGGGAACCATGGATCCTCTGCTCACGACTGCAGCAGATCCCCCCCGCCACCCGTAGGCATTCCCTCCATAACACGCACAGACATTTCCCCTTACTTTCTAGGAGGAAAAAAGTGAGTGTTATGGTGCAAAAAATACGGTAAATCATGTTGGAAGTGACCGTTTTTATGATCCCACTGACAAATAATACCCAAGGCCAGCATCAGAGATTGGCAGTGTTGGGCAGCTGCCAAGGCCCACGTCTAAGCTGGGGAGCCAATGGCAATGTCCAGAGCCACAGGCCCAACTGCTTCCCTTCCTTGCTGTTGCAAGAAAGTGAGAAGAGATCTGCTGGATCAGACCAAAATATCCTGTCTCCCATAGTGGGAAGCCTGTAAGCAGAACATAAACGTAATGGCCCTTTCCCACCATTTTACGCCAACAACCGTTTGTCAAAGGCACGTTGCCTCTGACCCCAGTCTTGTTGACTTCATTTGTAAATCCATGCATTGCGTAAGTTGTCCCATGTGGGTTGGTAGGTTGGTCTGCCTGACTGGAATGACTCAAAGTTGGCAGGTGAGACTGTTGAGGGTGGATTGGTGGGAGTCTGTTTGTTAAGGATAAAATTCAATTAGCAACACAATGCCCTTCTTAACTCACACTTCTTCCTTTTCTTCCAAAACAGAATAATTATTCCAGAGGTTCCAACTCTTGCTTCACACTGCTGGATCTGGGAAGAACAAAATTTGAAAACCCACCAAACAGAAGCTCTGAGGGTCAAGCCAGAAACCTGGGTAACTCGGCAGTCCACTTCGCTAAAGGGCACAGTAAAACCAAAAGCAGTGTTTGTGACCAATCTTTGCAAGATTATTTCAGTGAGAGACTTCTGAAGCTTAGAAACTATGAAACAAAAACGTCAAACGGGAAGGTAAAAGTCTATCTTAATGAGAACCAGAATCCCAGCTACACCAGCAAGGGACTAAGGCGGAGAAGCACCTGTAGTGCCATGATACAGGCGAACCACATGAAATTGACAGAAAAATCCTGTGAGTCAGTGGATCCAGTCAATGAATACATAGCAATTTGCAGCAACGACCACAGCAACACTCAGAATATTGAAGATTGCTCTCAGAGAAGGAGCTATTTAGAAAGTTTGACTTTGAGCATCAATGGTCCCCTAGAAATGCTTGTGCGAAGGACATAATTTTGGAACATTCAAGCAGATATTATAATGAACAATTTCCCACTACCTTTCAATAAAGGCATGATGACATTTCTTATGCTACATGATAGATAAATTATTTGGACCTTGAGACAATTGTACAGTTTCCCATGATCAGGTGGGAATATTTAAATTGCAGTCTGGAATAGTATATATAGGATCGGCTCAAAACTTAGTCATGCTTAGCATAAGCCCAATGAAGTCATTCTTTTTCACTGCATCTGCTCTACGCATGACTAACCAAGTTAACTAAAAAATAAGTCCTATTGAATTCAATGGGGCTTATTCCCAGATAAGAAGGGTTAGGATTGTTATGTGCAGCATTTATGTGACAGAAGCATCAAGTTTTTCCTTGGCAGATGTCAAGGTGAAGAGTGTATTTTAAAGATATGAAGTTACCACTTGTTGAAATCAAGTCATTTATATTACTTATTTAAAACATTTGTATGCCACCTTTAGTTTGCCAATATCCCAAAATATTTTTGTGTGTCAGCAGCACTGTAGAATTGAGATGGTGGTGGTAATGATATTACACACATGAGATATTGTATGTTTGGTTTAGATAATAAATTTATTGTGTCGCTAATTTGTCCTTCTTATATTCATGTGACGTTTAGAGCTTAGATATGGTCACTTTGTAGCATGTGCATAGTTAAGCTCGCTCCATTTAACCCTGGTGCAGTCACGTTGTGTTTTTAGTGCTTGAGCTCGACCCATTGCCAATAGGTCTGAAGACCAAAAGGTTGCAGCTGGTACAAAAAACACTGCTGAGGAAGGAAAGGTGAACATGTGCTGTGAACTGGAAGCCATAAATATGAACCAAGCCTGTGTACACCAAGCATCATCTTACTACTACAAGTATTCTTGGGGGAGGGGGGACTCATAAAGGTAGATGATACATACTACCATATGGCAGCAGCATCCTGGAACCTGGTTCCCTCCAGGTATTTTGGATGACAACTTCCTGGGGCTGATAGGTGTTGTCATCCAAAAGAACTGGAGAGCGCCAGATTGGAAAATCCCCCCCCCCCCGTATATTGCACAGTTAAAAAGAATGGCCAAGAATTATTGCAACGATAGCTAAATTAGCAAATTACTTCTTTACTCATTGTTCATGCCAAATGCTTTTTTAAAAAATTCAAAGGTAGAAGCAATATAATAACTACTGGCAAAAAACCCAGTTTATGAATATGCCATCATTCATTTTGACATTCAACACTAAAATACTTTAAGAGTGTTGGTTTTAAGTTTTGTATTTTGTTAAAAGGGGGAAAATAGATAGTGTGGTAAAATAAAAGGAGATTGAGTTGTGATACGATGGCTCGGGCAACCCCAAAGTGCCCTAGAACTAAGCTGGTCAGGGCTTTGTAAATTAATTCAAAAATCTTGAACCTGGCTTGGTAGTAGATTGGCAGCCAGTGCAGCTGTAACAATGGCGTCACATGTTCTTGACCCAGGGCCATCTTAAGCATATCCGGTGCCGTGGTGCAAAGATCCCTCTGGTGCCCCCCCCCTTTCCCAGAGTTGTCTTGTGCTATGACATCCCACCTCCTAATATAGCCTGCATTTTAAAGCCCTTATGTCAGCCCAACACAATCTTGGCAGCCAGGGCATGTCAAGGCAGTGTACAACAATATAATAAAATATAATGTCTATATAATAATCAAGTAGACAGTAAACAGCTGGTAATGGTAGATAGCAAAAGCCATGGTAAAAAAGAGAGAGGAAAATTAGCATGGGGATTGGGCAGACCATTCAAGAGAGCAGGTACCCCCACAGAAAGTGTGCTGGTTGATGCCAGATGGATGTTTGGAGGCTGCGGCACAACCAGGAGGACCTCTGCAGATTATATTCTCAACTGGTCAGATCTGTATGGGAGAAGGCATTCTCTTGGTTCCAAGTTCTTTAGGGCTTGATAGGTTAATACCAGAGCCCTAAACCTGGCTTAATAGCAAAGCAGCCGCCAGTACACTTCCTTTAGCAATGGTGTTGCATGTCACAGTCAGGAACATAACTCAGTTAATCTAGCTGCTGCATTCTGTACTAGTTGCAGGTTTCTGGAAAATTTAACAGCAGCAAGCTCTGCTCTGCAGCTTCTCTCCTCCTACTCCACATTGCACCCGGTTCGCACATATGTATATTTTACTTTTGTGGAGGACAGTCCCACGATCCATGTGCTCACACTTGACATTCGTGGGAACTTTCAAGCTCATTTTGGCTCTTCTTTGAATGCACCATGGGCAGCTGTGGGTAGATCAAGGCACTCTGCACACGCTTAAGAGAACGAAATGGGCTGCAGCTCATGAAAGCTTAAAGGTAAAGGTACCCCTGCCCATACGGGCCAGTTGTGTCCGACTCTAGGGTTGCGTGCTCATCTCGCTCAAGAGGCCATGAGCCGGCGCCGTCCGAAGATACTTCCGGGTCACGTGGCCAGCGTGACGAAGCTGCAGCTGGCGAGCCAGCACCAGCGCCACACACGGAAATGCCGTTTACCTTCCCGCTATAAAGCGGTACCTATTTATCTACTTGCACTTAAGGGTGCTTTCGAACTGGTAGGTGGGCAGGAGCTGGGACCGAACGATGGGAGCTCACCCCGCCGCGGGGATTCGAACCGCCGACCATGCGATCAGCAAGTCCTAGGCACTGAGGTTTTACCCACAGCGCCACCCGCGTCCCTCATGAAAGCTTATGCCTCACTAAAAACCCGTCCCCATCTTTAAAGGACTTTTTGTTGGTGTTTGTTTTTAACCACTAACTGCATGGAGAGCACGCTCTCGAGTCCATCCTTACCTCTGAACTGAGTCCTAATGGTAGTGCACCCCACCTCAGATTTCCCCTCTCACCACCCCAAATCTGAATGAATCCCTCCTCCACCTTTTTCCTTGATGTGGTGTCCCTCCCCCTCCCTGTTCTCCACACCCCCTGCGCTCGGCAGCTCGAGGTTTGCTTGCCGCATGGGCTTCCTCAGCAGTCCCTCTACTGCCGCTGGGCGGGCAGGAGGGAGAAGGGTGCTGCGTAGCTTTGTGCGCCACTGCTGCCTCCTCTCCCAGACAGGAAGCAAGAGAGCGTGGCTAGCCATAGGAAGAGCTGCTGCCGCCGCGATCCAGCATGCCCTCGCTATTCCCAGTTGGTCCCGGACTCCTGCTGCTGGGCACCCCTGATGGGCAGGTGCCCTGGCGCAGGGCACCACTAAACCTAATGGCTAAGACGGCTCTGTCTCAACCAGAAGCTCCCATCGGCCATTGCATTCTGCACCGCATTCTGAAGAAGACCCAAAGGGAGCCCTGCACAGAGTGAAAAAGAAGATTGAACTGAATGGCCTCTATTAGCTTTAACTTCTCATTCATTCCAAAATGAGTGCATACACCTAAATTTAAGCATGTGTTTGATTCTGCCATTGGCACCAGTGGAACTGACTCAACTTTGGTTTAGTTTCCCTTGTTGATATTACAGTACAGTGGTACCTCGGGTTACAAACACCTTCTCAGGATGAGAACGGAAATTGCACGGTGGTGATGGCGCAGCGGCAGCGGGAGGCCCCATTAGTTAAAGTGGTACCTCAGGTTAAGAAGGGTTTTAGGTTAACGACGGACCTCCGGAACGTATTAAGTTTGTAACCAGAGGTACCACTGTACTAATTTTACATGCCCAATGGAGAAGTGGATCTAACTCAGTTATGAGCACGCAACTGGTAAAAGGGCGTAAAGTGAATGCAGAACAGAACAATACTTGGCATATACTTAAATAAAGGAATTTATTTTTCTTTTAAAAAAAAGGAATCTCAAAACAAAAATTGGAAAATGAAACAGTGGTTTGATCTAGATACAGCAGCACTGCAATATTATTAGACGCGTACGGAGAATTCAAACAGCCAGAAAACACAGAAGCCATTATTGTCAATAACAACCTCAAAATGAAAACTATTCTCATTTAACAATGTAAGAAACTCCCTGAAAATTAAAACAAAATGAAAAACCCTTTGGATTCTAGAATTATTATTATTAATCATATTATTATTATTATCTTACAATACCAACAGCCACTATTTTTTTCTAATTGAGAACATTAGGTTCCATTTATTATAAAATTTATATATTTTTTAACATATGAAAAACATTATTGAAGAAGTGCCTGTCTTTTACAGACACTGAAGTATGATGAGTGCTTTAAAACACTGACTCCTAAATATACTTTTAAAACCGGACCCATGATGTCATTTGTAATTAGCAAGTTGTGATTATTTTTTTATTTAAAAAATGTGACACGTCTAGTCATAATATAGTCAATCAATTTAGCTAAGTCTGCTATGGTGAACTAAATCATAGATGAAGGTGTTTTAAGTTGCTCAGAAATGCAACAGAGAATTTAAATCAATTGCCTCCTTTGATACAGGCAAAAAGCTGAATCTTTAAGAGTGGCCGCTGTGGCATCCATAGAAATGAACACATGCTTTTTATCAACGTTTTTTGGAAGGATAGAATATTTGGAGTTGTGTTTTTTTTTAAATCGTTTGATTCTGAATATATGGCAGTTGCCTTCAGGGCCTTCTGTGATGCAGCTAGGCATCCTTTTTGGCAATCTGCCTTGGGGATCAGGTTCCATGCATCTGCCCTACTGCATGTGGTCCTGCAGGTGTAGACTGGGGGGAGCCACCCCACCCCAAGTACTCAGGGATGCGAAGAGATTGCTCCTGCTTTCTCTAGCAGCATGGACCTATTTGCTGAGGAAGCGAGGTCCTTTTTGACATCCATTCACCTTGGAATATGTGCCACTATGCTTCACAGACTTGCTGAGAAGTATTTCTAATGCGATGGAAACAAACCCAACAACAAGCTTCCAACAAGAGAAGGGACCCCTAGCATGTGCTTTGCTTCTAGAAGGTCCCAAATTCAACCCTCAGAATCTCCAGTTAAAAGGGTCAGGTAGCAGGTAATGGAGAAAGCTCTCAGGCAGACTCTGGAGAGTCACCGCTGGTCAAAGTAGACAATAATGGACTAGATGAATACATAGACTGGCCTGATATAAAGTACTTTCCTCCCTAACAGCTTATTCAAGCTTCTAAGATGGGGTGAGGTCCAGTCTCCACTTGCACATGGGATGGGATGGGATAGTACCCACAGCAGTGTGCTCCTATGTGTAAGAATTTTTGGATGAGAAGGCCACAGAATTATCTGTCTAAGCAATCAGAACAAATATGGGTGGAAAGATACCAATATTTTTTTCATTGTTTTCTTCATGCCTATTGGTTTTTGATATTAACAAGGTAAACAACTTATGGAGCTACTGTCCCTCCACTTGTTGAATGGTCTTTCTATTAACTCTGCAGGAATCTTAAAATGCAAAGCTCAATTCTAAGGTTTTATTCAGTTTTCAATTCACTGAGGTGCTCTATAAAGGAAATAGTCCTAGACATCTTTTCCAGGTAATACAAAGACTAAAGTTAATATAGCAACCTTCCAAATTACAGCTTGGCCTCTACAGAATTCCATGTTTTGTTACCCAACAGCTTTCACCGTTATGCAGAGATTCAAATGGATGATTACAAAATTACTGATTTAATCAATGTCAGAAAAAAACACCAAAAAA